CTGCACAAACACGTTAAAACACGAGAAGACAAAACTATGATCAATGTAGGATTAGTAGCAATAAAAAAACAGAGTAAACAATAACCTAGAGGGTGGAAATCTAAAACTAAGCGGTGCAGAATGAATGAGAAGAATGAGAAAATTGGTTAGCATATATTATATAGCTTTTGGAGAGGCTAGGGTTTTCTACGAACAACATTTGCATGGTTCTGATTTTCAAGACAAAGAAGTGTACATATAGCCTCCCAACGACTTAGGTTTCATCACTAACTCGCTGACCTAGCTTAACCAATAATCTCGACAAACCGAGTTGATAATAATAATCGACAATATGACAAAACCGTGATAAAAGTAAACAAAACCAAGTAGTTAAACCCTTTAAAATTTTGAACCATATCTAAACAACTAAACCAATAATTTTATAAAATCGATTATTTCATTAAGGGTATTTTAAGTCAAGTTACATGAGGGGTAAAGGGTAATCAACCATGATAACTCTCAACCAAAATAAATATATTTGAAACAATAAAATTTTCATGAGTTATTTTTTTTGTGATAAAGCAAAATATATTAGTTATATTTTATTTTTTAATATATTTTATATTATCCGATATAAATTTATATGTATACTTTGTTGAGTTATTGCATTTATTAAACATGATAAATAATATTTTCTTATGATGTAAATTGGCAGATTAAGATTAATGAAATTCAGACTTTGCATAAAAAAAACAGCAATCCAAAATAACAAAAATCAAAGGATTTTTATTTCATATCAACTTAACATTAGTTAATATATATAGAGTTTTAAAAGGGCTTAAAAGATTTAGGATTTTACTTGTGACCACATAAATCAATTATGTTAGTCAAAAATATTAGTAGGTTAAACAATCAAATTAAAATTAGTTTAAAGAAATAATTATGATTATTTTTTGTGATTTATGATAGTTATCTTTTTTAATAAATTGAATATTTTTATGATATAAATTCGAATTTAAAAATCTAGATACAAAAAAACGAAAATAAGTTAAAACTTAGATTATATTAATTTGTTAATTTCATTAAGGGTAACTAAAGTTTTTTTTATATAAAGGGCAAATAGTAATCAACCATCATAACTTTCAACCACAGCCCAACTTGCTTCTAAATTAATAATATGATATAAATTTAGGAAATGTCATTATTGTTCAAAAAATTAAGAAGATATAAACACTACAATATCTAAAAGAAAAACAAATAGTATATGGCAATTAAGAAAAGGAAAGCTTTTTCAAAAAAGTAAAAACTAATCCTAAAAGAAAAAGGAAAATATTATTCAAATCTTTAAAAATATTTAAAATCTCTTATAATTTTACTAGGCTAATTTTCTCTTAGAATCGAATCAAACGAATAAGATGAGGAACTGATGAATCGATAAAAAACAATCAAAATTGAGAAAACAAAATAAAGGTGAAAGCCAATTTTCTTTTGAAATATGTAGTAAATTTTATATGTTAGTAATTCACATGTACGTGACACATGTTAAGTTTTTCTATTAAGATTTTGAAATGTGTTGCTATTAAATTAAAAATAAAACATAAATTTAGAAAATATCATAATTATTAAAAAAAACTACTACGATATCTAAAAAGGAATATAGTAAAAATGATAAAAAAAACATATATTTCAACTAAAAAAGAAAAATAATTAAAAAAGAAGTAAATATTAATCCTAAAAGAAAATTAAAATTATTACTCACATCTTTATAGATACATAAAAACCTTTCTAATTTTTCTAGGCTGATTCTTCTCTTAAACTCGAATCAATTGGATAAGATGAAAAATAATCATAATTGCAAAAGCAAAATAAAGGAGAAAACCAATTTTTTCTGATACTATTTTACCAAATGAGATTCTCAATGAGAAGTTTATTAGAGAAAAATCATATTTGTGAAAAATATAAAAATAAATACGGAACTAAAAAAGCCAGTTTTTAAATAAATTTTATTATAAGTAGTTTTGCGAACATGTTCTCAATCTTATTTTTTTATGTCCACAGTGATCCATTTTTTTGTATATATTTTCATGTTCATTTATATTTTAAAAATATATAAAAGTAAACAGAGAATGAAGGACAAAGCCAGTTTCTTCAGACAGTTTTATTATAAGTGGTTTTACGATAATGTTTTCAATCTTAATTTTTAATATTCACAATGATTTAATATAAATCAGTGTAGATAGAAATCATAGTCTACGTTAAAATGATTAAAATGTATGTGAGTCCATTAATCAAATTTTACCATGTGTAATAAACATTTTAACTAATTAAAAGTCAAATATGAATACAGAAATTAAAATATAATTAAAACTATTTATTTTTGTTTTCAATTTATTATTTATAAGTTTTAAAATAATTTTTTAACCCATGTATACACGGGTTCTAATCTAGTTATATATAATATACATAGTTAGTCATATTCACTTATAATTCACTTATCTAGCCATGGTATTTCCACATAATGTGACATCACCTATATACACCTAGTCATATATTGCATTATTCTAACCATAACCACAAAAGCAAATTGGCCTGAAAGCCCTGACTCAAAACTCCATTGTCATGCAGAGCATGACCTCAGGCTGTAATCTAGTACCTACATGACTTTGTAACTTGTCAATCACATATGGCTGACCAAGCCACATTCACTTGATATGATGTGTAATGGTCTAACACATTCTCATATTCAGTTAATGCATAATCAATATTTTGCGCGAACCTGCTAGATTTGATAGCATGCATGCACTATCACAACATCGGTGACATAAGTAGGTGCTAATGCACATATCACATGATCAACAATCAAGCAAAATAAACTTTCATACTTGCTTTGCAGTAAAATAACATTCAACCCATATCAAAACTCACCTTGGCTTTCCGATAGATAAGTATAAAAGACTAAGATTTCTAACAACAATTCAGCCTTCTACTTAAAACTATAGTTTCATAGTGATTGGTACATAATCACGAGAAACAGAGATTATAATTGGACTAAGGACACTAAGCTAAACAATAAAAATTGGGATAAAATAACTTACCTTAAGTTTTTCTGAACTACCCTCACAGTGGCTTGCGGTGGTGCTTGTGATGGTCAGATGGTCGGATTTTTTTGTGCATCCTAAGATGGTGATAACATTTCAAAGAAAGAGACTTATCTTTATATAGGCGAGCTTATGGCCAAACTGAGTCATCAACGTGCCACCAATCTATCTCCAGCGTATTCCACCATGTGTCGGTATCGAAAAGTGTTTGGTGGCAGCTGCTCACACAAGCAGGTGATACAGATCAAGTAGGTCAAGCAGGTCAAGCCTTATAGCTGGTCATGCAGATAAATCACGGCAAGCAGGACATTCAAGCAGTTTGGTCAACGGGGTGCTTCTCCCGACAAACAACCCAGATCACACCAAAACATCTCACCGAGATTGCCGTTTGGTCCAATTGAAAAAAATTTAAACTAAACTTAATTATTAACCACTATAACTTACTTAAGACTTAACTTATTCAAGCTGTTCTCATTAACACCTAAAAACGGCCTCAACTTTCCCGATCAAGCGTAAACTACCTCGTTACTGTTGGTTAAAACTGAACTTTTCCAGCAAAACTTACTTTCTGGTTGCTAAAGTGATTTTCATAAATCTTCCTTATCATTTCCAAGTATGAAAATACTTTTTGGCCACTTTAGACAAGCTTTGATCATCTTTGGCAGCACTAGCCCTTCTTATTACAGTGATGGACTTGATCATCCTCATGTTTTTTTAACGATATCACGAGCAACTTCACAACAACACATGAAATAGTTTGTAACCTGGCTCTGATATTATGAAATATTGTTTAATGGCTTGACTTTATACATTCACAGACGTAAGTATATATACATTGCTATTTTCTATTCTGATAGGATTAAATCAAGATACATAATATTAACATATATCGTTGCCTTACATAGTTCAATCTAAAAATCAATTATAACTTGACACTCTGGAAAAGTATGCTTATAAAAGAGTAACAATGATTACACCAAAGTAAAAAAGTTTGATATTTGTAAACAGATATAAAAATATGGGATAATTTTTGAAATGACACACTTGACAATTTTATTATCAAACATGATCTTTCCTAAAATGACCCATAAAAAATATCAATTAGTTTGTTTTCAATCTGTTGTTAGTCTGCCAGTAATTTGCAATTAGTTTACTATTAGTCTGTCAGTAGTCTACATTCAATTATTTGATCAATCAGTCTGCCACTAGTCTGCCAGTTATGTATTCAGTCTGCCGTTAGTCTTCCATTAGTCTACAAATAACAGTAGTTAAAATGGTAGCGCTGGTATTTATAAAAATAGTAAAAGAGAGTCATTTTCACAATTTTCTCTCAATAGAATACATATTTCTTATTATTTTATCATTCTGAGTTATTTTGAAGTATTTCCTCTGAAAATATTAAAGAATCACTGCTCATCTCGGTTTAACAGCTTCGAGGTTCTTATTGTATCACTGCCGTTTTCCTGCAAAATCTCATTGCGCCCTCATTCACCTGCAAAATGCAAGTTAAATCTAAAGCCTAAAGGATGTGGTAAAAAGCCTCTGAAATAAAGTCACTGGTAGATAATTTCCATTAGCTCTGTTAAGACCAAAAGTCTATTAGTCAACGATGTCTCCATGATGAAGTCTCTTGTTTCGGATGTGTATGGTGGAAGGGGCAATCTAGTGTCTCCAGAAACCCTGCAGTTTTCTGTATATAAAATTTTGCATCCATAGAGTACCCAAAACTTGTGTAGAGCATACGGTAATTCGTTAAGAAAACAGCACCACTTGGTGGAAAAAGGCATTCCTTCTATTGTAGTTCTACTGAGCAAGATATTTCTAATGATTGTGAGGTAAATTGAGTTCATCAAGAGATTACAAGTTGATGTATTTTGGAAGAGGTTCTAGCTTTGAGCATCTTTTCAAACTCAACTTATGGAATTAGGAAGGCTTTTCATAGAGAGGGGGAAATTCATCCCCAAAGAAGATATTGAACTTGTTTTTCAAGAACTCAAGAGAAACAGTAGGATTCTCAGTAGCTGAGTTGGGCTCCAGAAGTCTTAGGCTTCTTTGTTTTTGAAGATTATCAACACCTCTAATAACCAGTTTATCAGAATGTTTGTGATTCCCATTAGAGCATCCTCTAAGTTCCAATTCCTGGAAATTAGATAAATCTTGAATAAAAAAGGAGAGCTCCACCAAACTGGAACATCCATTGAGAATTAGTTTCTTGAGTTTATTTACATTCCCAGTTGAGGAGGATGATTCCACCAAACCCGAGTATTCGTAAATATCGGAAGCATTTGAAATAGAAGGAAGCTTCACAAGACTTGAGCATCCACTGAGATCTAAATCTTAGAAATTCTGGGCATTCCACATTAAGGGTTACTGAACCAAACTGGAGAGATTATCAAGATTAAATGTGCACAGACTAGTGATGTTCCAAATACAAGAAGGGAGTTGTATCACATTCGAGCACCTGGCAAGAAATACCTTGAGATTAGGAATATTTCCAATAGACAAGGGGATACTAACCCAACTTGAGCAGTGCTCAATATTTAAAAACAGAAGATATTTCCAATTGAGAAAGGTAGCTCCATCAATCTTACGCAATGACTGAGATTTAAACTCAGGAGATTAGTGGCAGTTGAGAGACCAGGGAGCTTTTTCAAGATTTTGGAATAACTTCAATCCACCCACTTTACCCATGGCTTCTTTTTTTTTCCATAAATCTTGAATAAAAGAAGAGCATCGCGATCGATAACACTCTCACCAGTGGGACTAACCTCGACACCGCTTTACCCATCGTTGCTCTGGAGTATCTGAATCGCCTGGAATCGCCTACTCTTCGAGAACCTAACACAATCTCCGGCGAACACTGTCTTGACCGCGATCAAACAGGCCAAAGACTGGCAGCAAGCCCAACAACCACCCCCGATGGACCCAGTTAAAAACACCCAATCCCAGCACAACCCAAGCACAGGATTTCTCATGGGTTACACGGATGGAGCGTGGCAGGCCCAAACACTTGATGCAGGTATGGGATGGATACTGAAGAACGATCAAGGAAGCACGATCACCCATGGATCCTCGTCGCGGCAATTCGTTCCGTCGGCCCTAGCAGCAGAAGCCCTCGCCATCCGAGAGGCACTTACGGCCTTCACACATTTTGGATCACAAAAAATCCAAGTGAATTCGGACTCCCAAGTCCTCATCTCCCTGATCAAATCTGGAGAATCTCCGCCTGAAATTGCAGGGATTCTTTTAGATATTCGGGAGTCTCTATCTCTTTTTCCCTGTATTTCCTTCAAAGCAATTGCCAGGAAGGAGGACTCCTCAGCGGATTCTCTTGCAAAGGCTGCTCTGTTTTCCCTTGTTGTTCCCTCCTCTAATGGAGAGTAAAACTCATCTTTCTGCTTAATATATGATGCGATTTGACCAAAAAAAAAAAAAAAAAAAAACTTCAATCCACCCTCTTAAAACCCTCGAGACAAATACAAGGAATTCTTAGTTGAACGCATTAAAAAAACTCAAGACAACATACAACATATAGAGGCTGTCGAGACAAATACAAGGACATTCTTAGTAGTGAACGCATTAAAAAAACTCAAGACAACATACAACATATATATATCCTTCTATGTAATCATATCTTTACACTAGTAAAAGTTATAGGTATATTAGACTTTGATATTTTATTAATTTATAAAGTTATTAATTTACTGGTTTTAAATAAATAAATTGTATATTAATAATTAAATAAAAATAATATTTTCTAAAAAATTATAATATTTTTCAAAATTTGCATTATAAAATTAGAGATAAATAATAAAAATGTTTCAATTTATATATAAAACAATATACTCATATTTTAATAAATTATCATAATTATATATCGATATACAATTATTTTATAAAATATTTATTAATTTATGATATTAATAGGACTATATAACATATATTTTTCAAAAAAATATATTACCTTATAAATTTATCGATTTATATTAAATTTTGAACCGATCTAAATCAGAACCAAACAAAATTATTGATTTATCAAGCTTAATAATTTATCAAATATTAATTTATAGATTTTCTACTGTATAATGTTTAACTAAATAAATAAATATATATATAATTGTGTACTGTTATGAAATAGTTATGGAAAAGCCACGAAAAAACAAAATAGCAACTTAAGAAATTAGTCACAATCACAAATCTATAGCATCGTAACTAAACCTTAAAATACTTTCAGTATTATCGTTTTGCCTAATCCTTCATGAAGTTATAAATGGGTTTGACTTCGCAATAGCTGTCAGCTCGTCGAGAGCGTTGTTTTGTGATGGCCAGCTCGGCCCGATTTTAAGTGGACTTGCCGCGTGGCGCTTCCCAAGAATTAATTATTAAATATTCTGACACATTAGGGTTTTCGCTTTTAAGCGGGAAATGCGAAGGGTTCGCCATGCGGAGAAATTGCTTGAATCTTGACACGCATCCTTTTAGGAAACTGTTGAAATTTCTTCTGATTTTATTTACTTTACTTTTTACCTCTTCGTCTTCTTGCTTTAGAAAATTTCTATCTCCTTTGCCGATTTCTGCAATAATCCTCTATTCTTCTTTTTATTTGCCTGCCTTTCCTTTGCTTCTTCTACTTCGCTCAAAAATTTCAAAAATGTCTGCTTCTTTTTCGAATTCTTCTTTCGATGACAACGAGATTTGTCTTGCCGACCGTGCCAGGCGAGCCTGGATTAGTCCAGTCGCTTCTTCTTCCTCTTTCTCCGAGGGCTCCTCGGGTTACCGGGATGAGATTCCATCGGATCACCCCCACGCAGACTCCGAAATGGATTTGGATGGTCCCGGGCCAGCAAGCTTCGAGTTGGAGAGCAGAATCGAAGGTCTTCCGCAGAAGATTGCGATGTCGAAGAACAGAAGCGGCATTAAAGACGGGAGGACCTGGATGACTGCAGAGAGACTCCAGGAGCTTCGTTCGAAATGCTGTTTTCCCGAGGGGGTCGAGCTTCTCCTTCCTCAGGAGCATGAGAGGGTGACCACGCCCCCGGAGGGCTATTTTTGCTCCTACGAGTGCCATTTTGCAGAGTTTGGTCTTCAGTTTCCGATTTCACTGCTTCTTCGTTATTGTAACGGAGGAAGATGCCTGTGGTGCAGCTTACTCATGCCGTGATCCGCCATTTCAACAGCCTGGCTGCGGTAGCTCATGCGGCGATGGTCCCCTTCAACTGGGATATTTTCGAAAAGATATCCATTCTGAAGAGAGGGAGGATGAACCGCGGCGGATGGTGCCACTTTTACACCGCGATGAAGGAAGGAATCATTGGTGGAGACCCGACGAGTAAGGTTCACGAGTGGGATCGATTTTTCTTCTATGTGAAGATTAACGAAGCATCCATCGGTAGTTCCGAGCTCACTTTATTCATAACTTGGAGGTCGACGCCATGTAAGGCGAACTGAGTTTTCTTTATCCCCCTTTTTCTTTACTCCCCGGATGTTAATGTGTGTTTACTTTGTTATGGTAGTTGCAATACGTCTTGGAGCTAACCCATTCGGGTTTGATGTTGACGTCAAGAAGCTGCGCGATCTAAGCCGGAAGCTGTGGGCCTAGAAGGAGAAAGAGGGGGCTGCTAAGAAGAAGACAGCCAAACCTGCCGAGAAGAAGGCCAAACCTTCAAAAGCTGGTAGGTTGCTTGAGCGAAGTGGTTTTAATCTGTTGTTTGATGATGAGGTCTTATGGACGTCTTCGTTGTTGTTTTGTAGCTTTTCGGAGGGCTTCGCAGTCGAAACCCATAAGGGCTGGCCAAAAGAAGAGGAAGACGTTCATTCACCACCTCGGACAGGTGTGTCTCAAAGCCTTGAGACATATGTCGCAGAAGGTGTTGGTCGGGAGAGGACCGAAGAGCCCGGCGCAGCTTATTCTGAAGGGCTGACCCCTCCTGAGGTGGTTTCGGACATAGAAGACGCTGGTCCTAGCGCTCCTGAGGAGGTTGCTCCTTCTCAAAAGGACGCTGGCACAGAAGGCGCCAATTCTAGTGCTCCGGCCGAACCTAAGCAGGAGGAGGAGGTTTTTTACTATAATCCTCATCATCTTTGCATGAGATGGGACGGGAATACTCTGGCGATGCTTAATCGCGAGTTTGCAGCAAACCTGATTTGGAAGTGCAGGAAGAAGCCGAGATGAGGTAAGCCGCTTCGAGAGCTGAAGCTGACGAGTTATATATCTTCAGCGAGTCAAATGATAGCTCGTGTATTTTTTTATTATACTATTTTTGTTGTTGTGAATTTGTGGTCCCCCCTTTTATTACGTGCTTTCTGACAACACGCTGTGATTTAGGGTTTGGGAGCATATATGTCCGCATTCGCGGAGTATGATGACAATTTTTGCCAAGAGGAGATGATATTGGACACCGCCTGTGTTGAGATCAAGGAGCTCAAAAAGGCAGAAGCGGAGAATCGACTTCTCAAGGAGAGGTGTGCTCAGCTGGAGGGCACCGTTGAAACCATTAATGGCGAGGTGTCCGAATCTAATCGACTTCACAAGCGGGTCGCCGCTCTCCAAGCTCAAAACGAGTTTCTTGAAAAGCGGAACGAAGAGAACTTACAGGTATTCCTTGCCGAGAAGGAGAAGCTTCAGAAGGCTTGTGAGGAAGCCGCTCGAGGTGCTGCCGACAGAGTTTTTGTTGGTATAAGCGCTTGGTTTAAGCCGCGTTTAGATCGGATTTAGGCCTCGCTGGTCCAGCGCGAAAAGGTGGAAGCAGCCCTCGTCGGCGTCGAGAAAAGTAGCCATATGGTGGCGTTCTTGAAGAAGATGCAGGATAAAGGGTGGGAGCTCCCTGCCGGAACCCTTCCGTCTTTCGAGAAGGATTTTGCCAAGTGGAAGGCGACCAGTGACGCTATCGACGAGATAGTTGTCACGAGTGAGGACCTCAACCTTTCGAGCAGATCAGAGATTGATGGCCTGCGAAAGTGAGCCAGGTGGCATGTATATATATATATATATATATATATATATTTTATCCTTTTTGTAAGAAATTTGCCTGAGACAGCTTATTATCTTTTTTGATAATCAAAGTTTCTTCGTTCATCATTCTTTATAATGAAAGTTTCTTCGTTCTTCATATTTTTCATACGTGTGATTGAACTTTTTAGTTCGGAAATGGAAGCGGAATTTCTTTGCCCGTCTTACACCAAACAACGATCAAGATTGAATACAAATTTTTTGGGATTCACTTCGGCCCGAAAGGTATGATCGAGGGTCGTGCGACAATTATCCTTGGGTTTCTTCTTATCCACTTCAGAAGTAATTAAATCAAACCGAAGTATCAAAGGAGTGGTGATCAGCCACTTATTTTATTTGTTGTCCTTGCTTTTTCGAATCGGATGTTTGGCCAGATTATCGATTCAGCAAGATGCATTCGCATAAGAAAACGTGACTCTATACGCCGAGCTGATTTTGGAGAAAAAGGGAATTTATTAAATTTACAGCTGCACCCGGAGGTTGCCTACGTACCCAAGTTAGGATCAAGCCGTTCATAGTTCACTACAATTATTGAATGAATGGTATCACGCAAGGGCTAAGTCCGTTTTATTCAAAAAAAAAGAAAGAGAAACTAAGTATCACTGTAGATTCGTTGTTGGATCTTCTTTGTTTGTTTAGCGTCCTCGAGGGCTTTTGCCGCGAGAGTCGCACTTTGCGTTCGCTAATAAAGCAAGACCTTGCCATCTGCTGATTGCCGTGGAGTAAAAAACTCCGGCCTAGATGGCGAACTTCATGCATTGATGATAAGTCGACACGATAGCTTTCATCTTGTGGATCTAAGGTGTGTCAAGTATGGCATTATAAATTGCTGGTTTATCCGTTACCGTAAATTTGATGATTTTTGTCACTCCGCCGACATAGACCGTGAGTCGTATGGTGCCGAGGCGGAAGAAGGACTTGCTGGCAAAGCCAGTCAAAGGCTTTGGTGCTGCCTTGATGTCTTTATCCTGAGCCCCATCTTGGTCAACGTATCTTTAAAGATGATGTTGACCGTGCTGCCGTTATCCACCAAGATTTTGGCCACTTCGCTGTCGTGGATATGTAGTTCGACCACTAGTGGGTCGTTATGTGGGGTGTGTAACTCATGCATATTTTTCGATGTGAAGGTGATCGTGGGGTGATAGTCCACCGGACGAGGGAATTTTTGCGATGCGATTGCTTTACGTCCATACTCTTTGATGGCGCGAACCAAATCATCGCAGTCGGAGAGTCATCCCATGATCATGTTAACTCGTCATTTCGCCGGAGTGGGCAGATTATCGTGCTCTCTTTCTTCGTTCTGGCGTTCTGCTCCTTTTTTCCTTCTCCTTTTCTTCGTGCCTTCTTTCGGACGTGCGACTTCGGCGCCTTCCTC